ATTACTTCAACGGAAGGTTTCCAGATGGATATGCGGAGCAAATCCATCTGGTGGAGTCAGGTTACGATACCTGTCTATGCCTCTGAAAGGGGGTCGTTAGAGGGAATTGTTGGCCTGGATTAAACACCAATACCAGAGTTTATATTTTGGCAGGGGGGGGCCTGGCATGTTTCCCTGGGCGCTTTCTAAATACTAAACTCTGCTGCATAACAGATCTATCTTCTTTGAAATGTTGAACCATTCAAAACAAAAACAAAGAAGTAAAACTCAAATAAAAACATCTTTCCTTCCTATTTGATTCGATTTCAACTCTCGATTGAACTCGAGTGGGTCCAAATATTTCCTCCTACTTTGCCTTCAACACAGCAGACTGAAATATTTCCTTTGCGTGGATTTAAACCTCTTTAGCTGTAAAGTTTACTTTATTCTGGACAGGTTTACTATGAAAACATTGTGGTTCTACTTTACTTCAGTCCTTCAGGTCCTTCATGCTCTTCCTTTCAGCATTCAGAGCAAAGTTTTCAGGAAGTCGGTTTCTGTACTCTAAAATCTTACAACTGAGAGAAGATGTCTTCTCTTTCTGTCCGATTTCTCTTCTCTAACGTCGCTCCGTAAGCAAATCCACAGTCAACAGAAAATTCAGCCATTCCCTCCATTTTATATTCCAGCTCTGAACGCCCCTTATGTGTTCATAATAGAATCCATGAGTAATCCAAGGGTGAAAAAGATGTGACATGTAAGGTCTGTGAAGAAACAGGCAAACAGAGTTACTTTGTGAGAAAGATAAGGAAGGGGAGGGGAGCTCCTGAGAGAGGGGGGGGGGCACGCTGAAAGATGGAATGAAAACATCTGATGCAAGGAAGTCTGCCAGAGGACTTGGGGAGGAATCTGCGTGGAAGGTTTCCTTGAAGTCGGCCCCCCCTAGAAGCTGACAGGATGGCACACACGCAGCGCCAGAACTTTGTTCAGAGCACAAAAGATATGCACGAGACTTGCCCTTACACAACTCGAGAAATTCTGCACAGCCTGGGAGATATGAGTCATGTTCAGCTGAAGCTACCTCTGAGCAGCAAACACTTTACTGCTTGTTGTGACAGATTATAGATAGATGAACCCCCCCCCCCCCCCATAACCATGCCTCCAGTGTCTCCTGACTTCACTTTTAATGGACAGGAATGAGAGTGCTATTGATCTTTTGGAACAATTCTGCAAGTAAGTAAAGGATGTTTATCACGAAATGGGTCTTTAATGACTCACTGCAAAACGGTCTGAAAAAGCAGCGCCGTGTTTTGGACTCACAGGCCAGACATACAGTACCTGCTGTGTTAAGGGCAACGCCTTCCATTTGTTGTTGTTTTTAATAGATTGCAGGTCAGCTCACCGGGTAAACTCGTTTACTTTTCAAGAAGAAAGCAGATTAGGGGACTTTGCATAAAGCTAAAACAAAAACCTGGGTCTGGTTGTCTGATACGGACCAAATGGCTCACTGCACAGAGTGGCATGACTTGGAGGGCTCACAAAATGAAAATAAATAGGCTACGTGTCAGTTCTGACCTGAAATAGTCTTTTTGCCTTTTAGCATCTGCTCAGGGACTAATGGATGCCCCTCATGCACTGGAAAAACTATCTAGAAATAAGTAAAAAGGGGTTAAATTAAGCGTATTTACCCTTAATTTGAGTAGGTAAATTAGATAGTTTGCCAATGGGATGAGTATTTTTACTCTTAAAATAAGATATTTAAATAAAATGCACTTGAAATAAGACAATTATCATTTAGTTTTCTTAATTTAAATGTAAATTGTCTTGTTCCATTGGCAAAATGTCTCTTTTACCTCCTCAATCCAAGAACAAATGCACTTATTTTAAGAAAAAATGACTTATCTGGATTTTGTTTTTTTTTTGCAGTGTGCTGTTCAGAGTTTACCAACTATAGGAGGATACTGATTTACAGTGCAGCTAGATAATAAAGCTAAAACTTCAGCTTGATTTTTAATTAAGTTATTTAAGGGCTGGTTA